TCGGCCATTATGAAAGTAGTCAATAGCAAGAGTACCGTATAGAAAATCTATTAAGGCTGATTTACACGGCACGATTTTCTCGTGCGATTTGTAGTATACGACTTGAATCGCGCAGTGTAAATGCCCCTACGACTTGTCTACAACAGTCGTACGCAACCTAAGACTTGTAGTAGGATTTTGAACCACTGCTTAAAATCCTACGACTTGTAGTAGGAAAATCGTATACTACAAGTCGCGCGCGACGAATCGTACCGTGTAAATCAGCCTTTATAATTACTCACACGGTGCCATATTCACATCGGTTGTAAGGGAATTGGCGTGGAGTATCTAATGGCCCAATGGCTAATTTGCCCGCAAATAGTTCTAAAGTTAACATGGCGGAAAATGGAACTGCACATGTATGTATGCATCTGTCTTCAATTTTTYCATTGCCAACATTTAAAAAAATATAAGCAGCTAATGTGATTTTGAGACGATTTATACTGTCGCAAACATTTTGATGGATTGTTTTTGACAGACAGCGTTTCATAGTTGGACAGGTATGAAAATATTTACCAATAATCATTAGAACTCTTACCAACATGCACTACACCACTGCCTGCAATATCCACGGCTCCAAGCTGCGATAGCCAGCCCTCTTTGGACCACAGCCAATGAGCGGGCATAGAATAAATAAACGTGCCAAAAAACGAGAATGCACAGTAAGACTCGAGCTTTGTTCTCTCTGCCATTGCACCAGACACGATAGTGATGGCTGTTGTTGCAAATGATAACTGGAAAAAGAATTTTGAAAATATGTTGCCCATTTCAGACTCTTCTGCGTTGGTGAAAAATCGACCTGTTCCACAAAACGGGTTGCTGTTTGGTCCATCGCCAAATGCCAAGGCATACCCGAATATCCAGAAAGAAAATCCACCAAAAATGACATCAACAACATTTTTTACCATGATATTGACCTGCAATAAATGAAATATTTACAGCGGAATTCAACCCAACGTAGTAAAACCCAGACAGAAATTGGGCTTTTTTGAGCTAACAATAACAATAGCCATAACGATAACGATAACTACAATAATAGTAGTKATGATGATGATGTGAGGTTTATCATATACTTAACTTTATATGAAGTCGAGCTTTCGCTGTTCTACAGCATCATCATGAATCGGCCATGTTTTAAAGATATAAGCTGATATGCTATACGTTGTTTTGGGTTTGGGGCGGGGGTCCTCGTCGGAAATTTTGAAAATGAACCCAAAAAGGGACCCGTATTGTGACTGATGATGAGCGTGGCAGTGCTGAAATTTTAACCCTTAGAAGGACGAGGGACCAATCAATAACAKGTCATTTTGTTTTGGTTTCCCGATTTTATTTGTGTTTTTATTAAGGAGTGTTAAGTGACGACGTCGGCAGGAATTAAAATAAAATCAATCATCTAATTAGCAGTTGCGGTTATTGTTGATCTTATAATKATAGCTCAGTGTCGTCGTATACCCTAAGCGGGACCACAAAACTCAGTTGGTGGAAACTCTCGTCATTATCACTCTAAGCGGGACCAAAACACTGATTTCAAATCCTAAAAGGGACGACGAGGAACCCGCCCTGTTTTATCCCCCCCCCCCCCCCCCCCGGCAAAGGACAGTATGGTTAACTTGGATGTCGCGGGCTATGCGCACAAATTTAGTTTTACTATTGACGTGCTGTCATCCAACAATTACATCTTCAGCCATACGCTGACAATTTCTCAAAATATAGCTTCTTATTTGCGAGTTTTTGTGCTCATGAAGAGAAGAGAGCTKTAACTGACATCTGTTTTCYCGATGACATTCTTTTCACGGTTCTCGATTGATTGTCAACACTCAACTCTCGCAATTCACAGACACATTCCTTTCACTGACTGCCCTATTTTGATGGAGGAAAATAGAATTGTGATACTCTAACAAAAAGAAAAGAAACTGGATGCAGAAAGTACATAGTAACCTGTATCAAATATCAATTATATCAATCAGTAATATCAGTTATTGATCAGTACCATTACCTCATTTTTTCTGGAAACCATGCCCGATTCAAGAAGCCCAAAACCCGAYTGCATCGTAAAAATTATAAATGAGCTTGATAGCACCCATGTTGCATCGTCCCATCCGACAACGCCTTGTAGGCGATACTTGGCTGTTGTTTCTGGTGTGGGGCTTGAGGTGGTCAGGACTGTGGAATTGCATAGCGAGGAGTCATTATGTGATAGACAACCAGACATTTGGATGAATTTACCAATAACACAATCTGAAAGTGAAGGACAAATACACTGAAAAAGGTGACAATGCCAAATATATTATACATATTMTAATTCAACTTTTTTATTGGTTCTAGCCTTGTTTTTACGAAGATACCTTTAAGTGCTAAACGGACAGCAAATTGTTTTTCATATTGTGCTGTTTTTCAAATCCTGTTCTCACTTAGCTTCATCAATGTTTCATAGAAGAACTCGTTTCATTCAAGAACTCTGGAGAATTTAYAGTCAGGTAGTTTWCCGCCGTTCATTCGCTCGTTCTAGATTCTCAAAAATGGTGTGGAGGTTTCCTGACTGCCAATAACGCTTGCCATAGAATTCAAGATGAATTGCTTTCCATTGTTATCTAATGCTAAAGCAATTTTTAAAGCGTTGCTAAAAGTTTGTTATAGGAACGTTTAATTTAAAATCCTCACTTCTTTTGGGTTTGTATATGGATTCGATCGTTTTCTCGTACATGGGCGCCATCACTTATCCTTAAGMCTTTTTACGTTTGTTTGAATTCTTTGAAACATGAATCTAACAAATAATTTTTTAAAGTCATTTTGACGTTTGGTGTTCACCGTGAATGTGAAGTCTAAATATCTCGAATACCTCAAGTCATTCCGAACCAGCAAACGACACCATCAGTGACTGAATGCTTAAACCATATGATCGATAGCCGACTAAAAAACTGTGAGGAATAAAACAATGAAAAAAAAATCTTACACACAGAGAAAATGTCCCATGTTGACTATCTGCCGTATCGAACATGAGCAAACAAATCAATGATAAAAGTGAACAGATAAGCAAGAGGTCGTCTTTCTCTACCATATCGTTCCCTTCTGAGAATTCAGCGCACTTRACTTGCGGTAAATATTTGACATTATTTATTTAGTGAGGACTTACCTCTGATTATCCTAAATAGCACAACAATTTAATGTTATTCCGAACTTATTTCTTCTAATAAAAACTGTTTATACAGGTAGCTTTTAATCGGGCCGATGCAGTGCTTGCATAACCTTTGAATGCAGGTGCAAATAGAAGAAGTTAGTCGATTCTGCGCAGCGGAATTGTCCTTGTGACGCGGATAAACTAGCAGTTGCTGAGATACACAAACAGATATTCCTGTAACTAACACACTTCAAATATCTCAGTTTGTGGAAATGTATCTTCGCTTTCGACACAACGATACATCTGAAGTGATAGCWTTCTATTTGCTCGGCTTATTTTTTCTTTCTCGGTAATTCATAATAAAGAAAGACGAAATGATAATTAACACGTACTTGCGTTGCGAATGATTCGACGTTGTTTTTGATAGGTGTATATGAACTTACCAAAGCACTAAGATGTTTTCAACTTTAACATTTCATTTTATTTTATAAAACATTATGACTTACAAAATTGTTTGTAAACTGACATGGTATCTCGTCAGATAATTTTAAGGTTAATAATCCCACTTTTATACTAAGCGTTCGATCACTAGCCGAAATGATCTTTTATGTAACCTTTATTGAGTTTTACATACCTTCTTTATCGTTTTTGCTTCATCATCATCGTTTATTCACGAGAAAAGMTGCCATTTAGAGATCAGAGTTGAATCGATCGACAACAGCTCTTTTGAAAGCTGGGTTATTTCGATGGACAAACGCTCATTCACTKTACTTTCCACATACTGTTTTGATTAAATCAACACCTTMGATAACACCAGGTTTGCTTCGTCACAGAGAGAGAATTCTTTTTAAGCTGTTGAATTAAAAGTCGTATTAGGTTGTTTTTCCTTGATTGTYGAGGCCTCCTACTCGTCTTAATGATGCTGACCAATAAAAACAATATTGGTGAAATTTGCATTATATCACCGCCGATAAAAGGTCAATGCACCTGCATACTGTTTTTAAATTGAGCTGTGTGGGAAATGACCAGTCGCAGTGCATAATGAATGTGAACTCAGACATCAATCAATAATACCCGGAAAATGAATTTTTGGTGAAAAAAGCTCGATCCGAGTCGTTTTATAGACAAACGAACAAATGAATGACAAATGAAACCATACAATAAAATTAATGAAGAGGGAAATTTATTAAATGGAAATGATAATAAAACAAAKAGAAACGTCAAAAAATGTACACATTCAATTTCAGCACTAGAAGATATATAAAATACCAACAACTCGCTTGAAAAGTCGTGTTTCTATGCTCTTTTAGAAACACGATTTTTTTGTACAATTCAACCAATCAATACGTGCGATATATTGTAGTACTTATTCTATAAATTAGCACCTTCGTTTATTCACGCCAAATCAAATTGTCTAAGTCACAATAATGAAACAAATATAATTAAACAAACAAAAATCTAGAAATGAATAAGGTACACGGACAACTCGTAATTTTTTAATGTTATGTACTGGCAGTGAAATTTCCGACACGTGCGTAACACACGTTTGCATAATGGCATGTAATGAGCTTCTTATACTAATTTAAAAAAATGGTATAAAAAAATGGTATAATGGTGTCAAAGAACTCAACATTTTAAAAATGAGAAACCCACCATGGAAAAATAAAAAGATTTTTTTGTGCTTTCATGGAAGTCGGTTAAAAACACGTTTTTTCTTGTGAAACGTTAAATTCATGAAATTTTCGATAATTCCGAAATGGCCGCGAACTATCATAGGGGCCTGAGTCGAGCCTTGTATGACGTCTACTAAGGAACCATAGTTCTCACATCGATTGATATTTCAACTAAGAATTGTTGAAAGTTG